TTTAATACCTTAATAAATGTATAACGTTTCCATACTGTTATCATTGTTAATTGATTCTGTTTGCCTATTTAAACAGGCCAAGATTACTGCAATGAATGGATTTCAAGCGAAAAGACATGTTTGCTGTTTAAGCAAAAGTTTGTAATTCCTTCTTCTTATTACATATACACCACTGAAACTACAAGACAGCAATAGAATGTCATTAGAAAGATCATAAGTATAAAAGTTGGAGATGATACATGATACATCTTAGGATCTAGTCTCATGGATAAATCACAATAGCAATGATGGAAGGCAGAATCTACAGATGATTTTCATTTTGGGGATGGGGAGGGGATGCTGAACAAATATTACAATCACACAAGAATGAAGATGCATTACATCTAAAAATTAATATACATATATGGCAATATATACAAAGTAAAATTAAATATCTGATGAACAAATATAATTTGTACTGATAAATCTGACAGGATTCCCTGCTGTTACAACAGATACAACAAAAAATAAAAAATAAAATTACAGTACGTAATGTTTCTTTTTGAAAAAGAACAATAGTGTAATTAACGCAGGTACAGTGTGTTAATAGTGCCCTCATCAATGAAAGCATTTTTTTCCTGCACAATCCTAATTCATTATTATAAAACAAATCTTCAGCTGTTGATGTGCCAGCTTTTTTCATGATGCCTTTGAAATAAATTGACAGCAATAAGAGTGGCCAATAGGTCCTGCTAATACTAAGACATGTATAAATTGAACGTCGGTAAACACAAAAATGTAAATGCACAGTTTCATCAGGTTTGGTACAATAAGTAAATGGCAAACTACAAATAAATAGTTGGAATGTCATACATCCAGGTAAGATTAAAAAGTCATGACAATGTCACACACTAACAACAAGCAAACAGTAAACACAGAACTAATGTTTCATTGCACAAGGTAGCAGATTTGAAATACAGTCACTGCATTACCTTGCACATTTCAGGATTATTCAGAAGACCTGTAGTTTTAGTCTGACACTCAAAAGACCAGTAGTCTGACATTTTCCTCAATGTAATTAATCCCATTTTTAAAGTCTTTTAAAACACGAGTGGCTATAAAATAAAAACAACTTGACTTACACTAAACATGTAACACAGACTTTTACCTACATAGACACAGATACTTAAAATTTAAATTATGCCATGAAAGGTTGTGAAAAGTTCACCCGTGTTTTTGAAAGACCTTGTAGAACTTGTCTTTACTGACTAATGAAACTGTTTGTACAGATACTGAGTTAATACAGAACCCTGGCACAGAGGGGAAATATAAGACTGACATGGAATAGTAGTTAGGAAAGCAAGGATTACACAAACAAGGACAAAGGGCTGCAAGGCTGCATAGTAATCAAGTTAACATTGATGTTGACCGATCATCAACTAATCAGTAGGTTCAATAGATGATTTACTGAGTGGACCTTAGATTGCCAAAATCAAAACATATCTGATTTTTAAAATCTGATGTTCCTTATATTGGTGATGTTTTGCAATCATAGGCGTTTCTAACTTCTTCAAGGTATTACATCTTGCGCAAATCAAGTACAAACACCTGGAATAGGAAAAAAGGATTTATCATCAAATGTTTTGAACAGGTTAGATTAGAATGTAGGACAATAAAAGAAGAACAAGAAAATAGCTTACACTTCCATCTGAGGCGCTAGCACCAACTTTATCCCCGCGAGAGTTCCAGCAAACTTCAAATATACCACCAGTTCCCTTGTAGCTATGCACCAAATGGCCACTCTGAAAATGATAAAATTTCCAAGTTGATATAATTATTGATTTATGAGTGTTATGAAGCATTTCCAAAGAGCCATAAAAGTCTTCATCTTACTTGTGTTGACCAAATGTGAACACATTTGTCAAAGCTTCCAGAAGCAAGGAATTTTCCATCAGGAGAGAAAGCTACACTGTACACTGGCTCAGTGTGTTTAGTGAGGGTGTGAATGCAGTGTCCTCTTTCCACATCCCACAGCCTAACCGTAGAATCAAATGAGGCACTGAAACAAAGGGTTTCAAACATTAAAGCATGAAAATTTATGAATGAGATATTCTAGATCAAATTTACCAACTCAATATCATGGTGCATACCTTGCAAGAATAAGGCTCATGTTAGGATTTGCTGTTCCTGGGCCAGTAGGACTCCATTTAATTGTGTAAATTTCTTTGCTGTGTGCTTGTAAATCATGTACACAAGTATCTTGCTTCATACTCCAAATTTTTAAGGTCATATCATCAGAACACGAAGCTAGAAGGTTTCCAAGAGGGTCCCATTTAATGGCATTTACTTCATTCTGAAAGAGAATTATATCACACATATTATTACATGTTAATGCAAGAGAACTGCTGAGCATCAAGGATCACATTGTGCAGACCTCTCACTAAAAGCTGCAGTGCAACAAAGGTATGAAATAAAACTTACAGTGTGCCCTTGGAATGATTTGATAGGTTTGTCCACACCAAGTTTGCAAACATGAATGCACTGGTCAGTACTACAAGATGCAAAGCTTTGATTTGTTTGCCAGTCAACATCTAGTGCGGGGGCAGAGTGGAAAGAGAACTGCTGAGTACACTGTCCAGATGCAGCATCCCAAATGATGGTAGTCTAAGTAATAGGAAGGAACACAAATATTACAATGAGCAGATAATATAATTAAAAGAGTTTAACTATGGCAATCTAGAATATACCTTGTCAACTCCAGCACTCAGAATGTAATTTCCTTTTTTATTCCATTTTAGAGCAAAGATGGGTCCCTTATGCTGACCAAGAGTACTAGCCAATTGACCATCTGTGGTCCAAATTCGCGCATAACCATCATATGAGCCAGTGGCTAACAGAGTTCCATCACAGTTCCAGTCAAGAGAAGTAACATCCTTATTACTTGGAACTTCTGTGCCACCTCTCTGAATGCAATGCCTCAGAACCAGTTGGTTAGGTGAGTTGGAGTTATCACTCATATCCCATATTCTGGCTGTGCTGTCACCAGATCCAGAGGCCAACAAATCAGTTGTGGGATTCCAGGCACATATAAATACTTCAGACTCATGACCACGAAGAACAGTTGTTTTGCTGGGAGGAATTTCAATGCTACCATCAACCTCCATTGCTACGTCACTAGGTTGAGGAACAGAATTGGTAGCTAAAAAAGAATAAAAATGAAATGAATATTAATTAGGCAACACTTTAATTTGATTAACACGTTCGCATCGGGGGCCAAAATCGCCAAATGTCACCCGGTCCCGTGACCTGCTCCGCGTCAGGTGGACTGTACCACAAGTCCAGACACACCAAAGAAAGTGTTCCCGGCAGCATCCGGCTCGCAAGTTCATTATCGCTATGACCGCCAGAGGTCAGAGGAAATCAACGCCATTGCTCGTGTGATCTCACGGGAGGTCACGCCGGACAGAAGGTTCACAACTTCAAAATAAACACTCAAATTAGGTGCTCAAGGAACTTCAAAGGGCCCAAGTTTCATACAGAGCATGAATCTCGGGCCACCCATGGTCATCATCGGGGACCTCACGAGGACGGCGATAACACCTTCATGACAAATCCAATTTGGCTCAATCTTTTTAAATTCAGGGGATTTGGGACACACTGGCTCTGAATTTGGTGGTGCAAACGTGTTAAGGAAACGTACAAGAGTAGAAAGGAATAAAACTTACTTCCTTCTTCACCGTTAGTTTCAGTCAGTTCATTTTTCACAACTGCAGTAGGCTTCTGCTGACCTTGTCGGCTTGTAACAACATCTGGCATAACAGCATCAATAAGGGAAAGGCTTTCGACTAGACGATGCTCAGTGCCGTCCTGGAGAAGAGGAATAGATATAAACAATCCAGAAAAATAAACACATGCAAAACAAAGTCATAAACAAACAAAAATAAAAAAATACAAATAAAAAAAAAATAATAACCTCTCCTATGCTGATTTCTGCCTCTGTGTATTGCAGACCCTTTTGAAGAATGCTGAGAAGAGCGGCGGGGGGTACCAGGGCTCCATTTATATTAGATTGAGATATGTGGGATTCAATACCAAATGTATATGCTGAATGTTGGAAACCTAAGGGGACAAAGTTGCAGGTGAACATATTAGCCTAGCTATCGCAGGCTTGATTCCGACTGAGACAAGGCCTAGTTGACTCGCCCACAGAACCCACTATGAGGCTTTGAGAGCAGAGATCAATAATACCCTGAAAAGCTATAGGGAAACACTAAATGAAAAAATAAACGGCGATATTACTGATAATGATGCGATGAATTTGTGAATTTACACTTTAAGGGGAGTGGAAAACCAAAACAAAATAAAAAAGAAAAGTGAGGATATCTCAAAGGAGATTCTCACCTGATTCCTGGAGGTACCGGTACACCAGGAAGTTCACTTCGTCGCTGGAGAAGCTCATGGTAAAGGTTCACAACACTAAGCACGAAAAAATACTTAATAGTACATTTCCCAGCAGAAGCCTGAAAACAGATCAGGCCCAAATTTGTCAGGTTAACTACAAGAAAATGTTCGATTTCCCTAAATTTGAGGGTACTTTCAGCACATATAGAGGTGAAACCAACAATCCATACCACTGAAAACAAGATTAACAGGTAAAAGTCAGCCAATACGTTCTTTTAAACGACACAAAGTTAAGTTTAAGAAACAGACAAATAACGCCATACGATAGACGGATCAAATATGGCCTTCTCCAACACCGCCGGCAGAACAAAAAGGTCGTCGAACCCACCTTAACTCAAGTCAGCAAATCAACTCTAAAATTCAATGAAAGCCTGATAGAACGAGACAGTGATTGAAAATTTCGAGAAAATATAGTTCTCATTCAATTTTTGAACGAAATAAATGGGAGATCCTGCCCACGAAATAATGCCGGCTTGCAAGAAGCCTTTGGCGCATCGGTTGGTGCAAGTGGCGCCACTACGGGTTTTATCAGAACTACTTTACTCATCAATACATCGTCTACACAATGTTTATGTTCTTTTGACGTTTAAAACTGATGGAAAAGTCAAATGAAATCGCCATTCTTCAAAGGAAATCGACGAAAGGTATCTTTTAAAACCTTTGATCAAAAATTTCACTCGTTGTAAAATATCAACAATGCTAAATTAGTTTGAAGGAAATAGTTTCTTCTCACTTAACCTCACCTTGATAAAGAAATGCATATTATGAAAATACTCAAAATGTGTGTTTAACCTCCTCAAAACGATTTTCTAAGAAGACTGACAGACAGCCCGTTGTTCTCTTTGTTGAACAGTGGTGCTTCTATGTTGTGTTTGGAGTGCTTAATTCCAAACTTCTGATTAGTACTATTTGCTTGAACGATGATCATGTATGTAAAGTTTGATGATATAATCTGAACAGTGACAGAGTGTTGCCTCTATTGGTGTTCTATTATTACCTGAATTTTCCTTCTTCCTGATACAATGCTTATAATAAGTTTTCATTTTTTAAACCTTTCTGTGAAAACAAGAACATATACCCTTCTATCTGCATGACTTTCAATGCAACCAAGATAAATGTGCTGAGTCTTATTTTGTTAAATATTTGCAGATGGAGGCTCTTCCTGTCCATGGTGTTCAGAAGCGTTTAGTGACCTTCGGGTACTTATGGATCACTGGGAGCACTGCAAGAGCCGACAGCAACTTCAAGACAGTTTAGATTCCTCAAGCGTATCTGATTCAGATACCACTGGTTCTGGTGACATTGGTGAGAAAAATAACAGTGATGATGATAGCATTGCATATCATAGTGAGGGTGAGAAAACTGTAACTGAAGTGTCCAGAAATGGAAATAGTAATTCGCTATCATGTATTCTCTGTAAGCTTGAGTTTAGCAGCGAATTAGATTTGAAAGTTCATGAACAACTTCATCTGAGATGTCATGATAAGAAATACTCTTGCTCTATTTGTGGAGACAATTTCTCTACTAGTATTCTTCTTCATAGTCATCTCAAAAGTCACATAGAATCTAAATCCTTTTCCTGTTCTCAATGTGGAATTCACTCTCTGACAAAAGACGAATATCTGGTACACATGGACATTCATGCTTCTGAAAAATCTAATAATTGTGCAGACTGTCCAGAAAATTTTTCATCTGACAGTGGTTTAAAAAATCACTTTTGCAAACATAACAATGAAAAGAGCTTCTCATGTCATGAGTGCCTCATGAAATTTCATACAGAAGAGGATTTAAAGTTGCACGTGCTTGCACATTCTGATCAAATATTATTCTTCTGTAATCAATGTGATTTAAAGTTTCATTTGCAAAGTGATCTTCAATTACATGTTTTAATTCATCCTAAGCAGAAGATTTTCTCTTGTTTAGAATGTGGTAAAGGTTTCTCTAAAGCAAGTGACTTGAGACGTCACAACCTAGTTCACACTGGAGAGAGACCTTTCCCATGTATAGAATGTGGCTCAAAGTTCGGCACAAGTAGCCAGCTAAAAAGACATGCAATCATACACACAGGATTTCGTCCGTATGCATGCACAGAATGTGAGATGCGGTTCTACAAAGGAAGTGATCTCACTCGCCATATGAGAACTCATACTGGAGAAAAGCTTTTGAAGTGTGACTTCTGTGGGAAAGGTTTCATGCGATTAAATGATCTGAAACGTCATATTTTGCTTCATGACAGAGATAACAACTTTTCTAGTTTTTTCCAAATTGAATCAGCAAGAAACAAGAAGGAGGAAGTATCTCATTTCACATGTGCAGACTGTGGATTTGTTTCCCAAAACTCAGATGAATTTGAAAAACACAAACTTGCACATGGGGATAAAAAATCCCTTGCCTGTTCAGAGTGTAATGCAAGCTTTTCTGAAAATACTGACTGGGAAAAGCACATGATGTCACACTTAGTTGAAAAGCAGCTCTCATGTACATTGTGTGACCTCAAATTTTATACAAGTAGTGATTTAAAGAAACACAGTCTTTCGCATGTACAACATAAACGTTTTCCATGTACTGAGTGTGGAAAAAGCTTTGGAAAGAGAAGTGATTTCAAACGACACTCTGCTGTTCATATGAAAGTAAAGCCATTCACCTGCGGTGATTGTGGTGTGAGTTTTGCTATGGAAAGTCAGCTTAGGAGACACTCAATGATCCATGGAGCTAATAAGTCAACATTTTCAACTGTGAATGATACTTCTCATCAGGCAACAAATGAAATGGTCAGTACAGCAGGATGGCACAATTCAGATATATCTAATATTATTGATATTTATTACAAGGAGTATTTTAAAGAAATAGCATACTTTAACCATTTAAATGAGTCAAGTCAGGCAGGTGTAGATAAAAGCCAGCAGTCATCTGCGGGAAATTCAAATTCCAAACAGCCAAAAGTTGAATCAGGAAACATGGAATACTGTTGCTCTGTGTGTGGAGAAGGCTTCAGCAAAGCATCTAAACTTGTCAAGCATAGCTTAACACATTCCAATGAGACTGGAGTAGTGTGTGCAGTTTGTAAAGCTGAAGTTGGATCAAGAGTTGCACTTGAATCCCACATTCTTACACATATTGAAGAAAAACCCTTTCTTTGTATTGAATGTGGAGATGAATTCCACACTGAATGTGAACTTGAAGCACATTGTTCCAACCATATGAATACCTCATGAGAGTGATTTTTACTCTTTGGCATATGTATAGTAAATGCCTGCTTTTGGAGGAATTAGTAAGCTATTTTGTGTGTTGTCCTTTGTGTTTGTGTGTGTGCTCAGTAAAAAGTTTTGGGAACATGGAAAAGTACCTACTGTTTAGGTATCGTAATATTTGACCAATGAAACCACTCTAATGTCCTCATTGCTGATTATTTTAGTTATGGTTGTTAAGATGTATTCAGAAAAATTTTATAGACTTTGTATGATTATAATTATGTTATAGTATGACTACTACTATGGATGATCAGGTGTATGATGTTTGCTCCCCATATTTGAAGCTGATTTATTACTGTTACCTATAAGTGTGTTGTATGCTTGTTTTATTATTTAGTAGTTGGAGCTCATATTACTGTTCACAAAGTTATGAAGCGGGTCTTCAAAAGTCACTGTTGGCATAGAAATGCTGCAAGACTCATTCTTTTAAGTTACCTAAATACAAAACAAAGTTAACAGTTTTTCAAAACTTGTTTTGCAAATCTTTGTTTGTTGGGGGCTTTGACCTATCTTATTACATCAATTTTGTTAAAGTTAATTTTCAAAGCAGAAATAGGTAATATCAAGCCTGGATCAATATTTTATATTTGTTATACACCCTGCAGCTAAAATTGAGTTTACTATCTTATATGTACTGTTAGTTGAATGATATGATGTGTGAGGTGCCACTCATGTTTTGTTAGTGTTTTCATTTTGTTCTCTCCTTATTTTTGCTGTTGCTATGGCTTTGTTATGTTTTGTATTTTCCCCCACCTCTCATTTGTGATCATATTATACAAATTTTCAAAGAGCAATGGCATTTTTTCAAATTTAAGTCCCCTTGGATTATCATTTACTTCGGGTCGAGAGACACTATGCGGTTTGACAGTGTTGTGAGTACTGCCCCTGCAGAGTCCGCACATGGCGAGGGAAGGCACCACTACGTGGCCAGGAGAAGGGAGGGTGGGGCCGGTGGGGCACACCACTCAACTCACACTCGCACGCTCGCACCACAACCACCTTGCGCTTGTGTGGGGAGTGCTGGCCTCTGGCGGCCGCCGCGGAAACTAGCTTCTCGCCGCCTTCACTCGGCTCCCTTCCCTCGGGGCCTCGTGGGTGCTGCTCCGTGCTCCTTGGCCATTAGGCCTATTAACCCCATCCCGTCCCCATATCCCCACCCCCCTTGCTGAACTGTTAAACCATCATCGGCCCCCTCGTGAGGCTCGTGTCTTTGCACAGAGGGCCGGGGCCGCCCGCCGCCGTGCTTCGCGTGGGCCTGCGTGGCGTGCACGGGGAAGGACCAGGACCAGCCCCGGGGCCGCCCCGTTCGTTTCGGCCACTCCTCCCAGGGCCAGAGCCACGTCGTCGGAGGAGGGAAGCGGAGGGGGGATGGAGAGAAAGAGGCCCTGGGACGCCACAGGGCAAGGCGGTTCAGGCAGGCCATGGCCCAGTTTGCACCAATGAACATCATTAGTAGTAGGAGGGTGCACTGGGTGAAAGGGCGAAAATCAGCCGCTTAACAGTACCGATTCGGCACTCAGGTAAGAAACGTACGCATGAGTCCGTAAGAAAATAGTTCGCAATCTTCGTGGACCACCCATTCGAGAAGGCAGTAGTATGCACGCGACAATATTCCGCAAGCGATCCACCCTCAACCCCGCGCGGGAAGACTCTTTGAAACTTTCAAAACTTCCACTTGGTAAAGAGGTGGCCACCACGCCAACACAATTACACACATTCTGTTGCTTTGGTAAGTGCATCCCCCTCTCCCGCGGACCGCCACACCCTCCCCTCCTCAGCAATCAGTCTTCATTTAGGGCCAGGGCGCCACGAGAGCCTCGCCACTTTAAAGGGGCGACGCTGCTGTGTGTGTGCGTGCCGACGCCGCGCCGCCCCCGGCCCCGGCCCGGCACCCTATGGGGGTGGGTCAGCACCCCATACGCCATAGGGGTCGCGCAACTCAGCGCAGCTCCCATAGGGGTGCGCGATGGGCTGCAAGCAAGACGCTCTGACGGGCGTCGTCGTTTTAATCATCTCTGTCACGAGGAGGGTAAGCGCGCGGCAGCGGCGTCCAAGAATACGGGCTCCGGGAGCGGGCGGCGGGGGTGGCGACGACGACGCGAGATGCACATGAGCATCCTCCCCCACTAGGTTCGGAGGCACGAAGCTGTACAACCCAGCAGCGCCGTGGGCTCGTCGCTGGAGTTGCTGGGAGAGAGAAGACCTGCTCGTCCTCCCACAGGGTGGCGTCCTTCCTGCCTCCCCCCCCTTTCCCTTCCTCCTCGCCTGCGCAGAATATGGCGTGCGTGGGTGACTCGGACCCCTGCTTGCCTTCCTTCCCAGGACCGTCTGGATCTCGCCACGGAGCGCGATGAGGTGCGTGGGCGGCCGGCCGGGGCAGCGAGTGTGAGAGAGAGGGGCGGAGGACGCACCGCCCACGCCGCCCAGGTGGGGCAGAGAGAGAGAGGGAGAGAGAGAGAGGGAGAGAGAGGGGGGGGGATAGAGGGGCGAGGAGGGCCGAGCTGGACGCGGGGTTGGGCGCGGCTCTACTCGTTGACGTGGCGGTGAGACTCGCCGCTGGAGCTGCTGGATGTCTCCCGCAGTTCAAACAAAGTCGGCGCGCGTTTGCGGGTTCGTCGTCAGGGGCGGATCCAGTCGGCAGGAAATGTTCTTGTCGTGCCGGGTGTGGCGGGTGCCGTACCAGGTGGCTGATTCAAACCCGCTCGCTTCTATAGTTATGCTGCCCGCTCGCACGAGTGCGGGCGAGTTGCCTACTCGCTCGACCCGTAAGGCGCCGTGCCGTGGACAGGGGCGATAGGCAAGCCTGGCTGCACTGCTGCACTCGTGCGTGCGGAGCTAATCAGCCACTTGGTATAATGATAAATAAAATACACCGCAGTGTTGCCTTCTCACTAGGGTCGCGCAAGGGCCGCCGCGCCTTGCGGGCGCGAGTAGGCAAGCCCGCAACACTCTGGTGTATTGCCAGACACGCCCCAACTCCGCGCGCGCCTCAATCGCTTTCAGGACACACGGGCGAGCTCACGCCTTTCAGCGCGGTATCAAACATCGCAGAGTTGAAGAACATGCCCAGCTTGTTGGTGAAGCAGTTGAAAATATTGAAGATGCGAGACAGCCCCCCGCGCCACGACGGGCTGCCGGCCGCGAGCCGCTGGCGGGCCGGGCCGGGCGGCTGTGGCTGCCGAGCACAGGGGCAAGGCCAGAGAGCCCCCGCCGAGAGCCACAGAGGCACCCGAGGTACCCGCGGCACCCGAGGCGCTGCTCGCTGGTCCAGAGGTCTGCTCGCCCTCCCCTCCTTCCTCGCGCCTCACCGCGCAGGCACGACGACGACGACATCCGTGTGTACCCTCTTGATGTACCCCGCCGTGCCCCCTCCCCTGTAGTACCCGAGGAGCGCCGTCTAATTACCCACCTCTACGGCATGTCGCCCGAGTGTCCCGACCGAATGAGTGACGGCCCTCCTCCTGCCCCCCCCCCCACACACACACACGTGATTGTAATAAAACGGGAGAAAAACATGTGAATAAAAGAGTAAAATAAATCACACTAACAATACGCGATACTGTATCCCGTGTCACTTTTCCTCTTCGCATATCGCGCCACTGGAACAAGAGGGTCCCGGCGGCGCGGCGGGGCCTCCCACGCACACATACCAAGTGCATGCCGTACTACATCATCAAAGGTCGCGGACGCTGCCGCCGCTGCGCTCTCATATGCAAGTCACCCGAAATCTGGGAATCGCGCATGACGCTCGCTTCTCGCCACATCCTGTACCTCCCCTCCACGAGCCCCACGAGGAGGCTGCCCGTCGCCCGGGCCGCCCCGCCGCCGGGCCGCCCGCACTGCCCGAGAGTACATCTGCGCAAATTGTATTTTTATCATATTTTTCCCCCTCTTATTATTTTCCAGCAGCGCCGCGCCGCGGCCGCAGTGTGTTACAAGCAGGAAACTTTGGAGTGGGAGGGAGAGGGGGAGCGAAGCAGCAGCAGCAGCACCAGCGGCGTCCCTGGCCTTGACACTGAGTGCAGGCAGCGATCCTGCCCCCCCCCCCTCCCCCCCCGCGAGGCCCCCACCCACTCTGCCCCTTCACCACCGCTCGGCCCCCTCTCTCCTTCACCTGCTCCGCTCTCCCGCTCCTCCTCCTCCGCCGCCGCCGCCTCCTTTAGTTTTCCGCCATCTTCTCGAATATCCTCCCATCCACCTTCACTTCGTGGCGGGCGGGGCGTTACGTGGCTGCGGTGGCCGGGCAGCAGCCCCTTCCCCCCGCCCCCTCCGC